GTGTGCGAAATACATGAACGTCGAGGAAGCCGAGGCTGACTTCTCGCAGGCGTCTAAAGCGATTAAAATAGACCCTCGAGATGAGAGAAAAGACAAGAGAGTTTCCTCGACTGGAGATAGAAAGGGGTCCCCGCGAGCAGAAAGGGAAGGACGGCCTAGAGGTTGGAGGCCGACTCATTACACCCCTCTGGTGGCTCCACAAGCTAGGATTTTGGAAGTGATGGAGAGGGAGATTCGTGACCATGTGGTAAGATGGCCCAAGACAAGAAATGACGGGCCAACGAGACCTAAGAGCAACCTATACTGTCGATTCCACAAGGACTACGGACACAACACCGACGATTGCAGACACCTCAAGGACGAGATAGAGAGGTTAATAAAGGCCGGCCATTTGAAAGAATTCATATACAGAGATCGAGAAAGGACAAGTCGAAGGAAAGAAAGGAGTAAGAGTCCTCGTAAGAGGACAAGGTCACCAGAAAAGAACGAGCTCCCCTTGAAAAAAGGAATAATTCACATGATCTTTGGTGGACCGACTGACGGAGATTCAAACCGTGCAAGAAAAGCATACTCCCGAGGAAAGCATGCCAAAGTCGAAGTACACCAAGTCGATGAGGGAGGTCCGGTGATGAATTTTGGACCAGCGGATGTAGGAGAGGTCGAGAGGCCTCACAATGATGCTCTAATGATAACCGCCCAGGTGTCAGGGTACGAGGTGCAGAGGGTTTTTGTCGATACTGGAAGCTCAGTAAATGTGATCTTTTACGATTGCCTCAAGAGGATGAACCTTGACATCGAACTGGCACCCTTGCACACGTCTCTTTTCGGGTTCAATGGCTCGGAGGTCGCACCCTTGGGAGAAACCACGCTTGATGTCGTCTTAGGAGAAGGAGACTTGAGAAAGGTGAAGATGATAAGGTTCGTGGTGGTTGATGTCGAATCGGCTTATAACGTGATCCTCGGGAGACTAGCATTGAACACTTTCCAAGCTGTGGTGTCAACTTACCATATGAAGTTGAAATTTCCAGTCGGAGATCGGGTGGGAGAAGCTCGAGGAAATCAAAAATTATCCAGAGCGTGTTATCAGATAGCGGTAAGGACGAACCAACGAACGGAGGTAAAAGAAGGAAATTTGGGATCGAATGAAAAAAGGCCGAGGGGAAGCGATCTCGAACCACATGGAGAGTTGATGGAAATTCAGATCGGGGAAAGAGAAGACCAAACCACTAAAGTCGGGAAAGAATTGACAGACGAGTTGAGGGGGCAGTTGGTGGAATTGCTGAGGGAATTTAGAGACATCTTTGCTTTCTCTCCAGAGGAATTAACAGGAATCGATCCGGAGGTCATGGAACATAAGCTCAATGTCGACCCCCTCAAAAAGCCCGTCAAGCAACGACTCAGACACCACGGGGTCGAGATCGACAAAGCAATCGAGGTCAAGGTGGATAAGTTGCTAAAAGCCAAGCACATCAAAGAGATCCAATTCCCCGAATGGATATCCAACACTGTAATGGTGAGAAAAGCATTGAACAAGTGGCGTATGTGTATCGACTTCCGCGACCTAAATTTGGCATGTCCCAAAGACCATTACCCTTTGCCGAGGATCGATCAGCTAGTCGATTCCACGGCTGGTTGCGAATTGCTAAGCATGATGGATGCATCCCAGGGGTATCACCAAATCCCATTGGCCCCCGAAGATCAGAGTAAAGTTAGCTTTGTCACAAGTAAAGGGACGTATTGTTATGTCGTCATGCCCTTCGGGCTAAAAACTGCAGGGGCAACGTACCAGAGATTGATGGATCGAATGTTCAAGTCGCAGATCGGGCGCAATATGGAGGTATATGTGGA